TTTTAATTATCGTCTTGCAGATTAATCCTCCAATTTCGTTATCAAATTTATTTATTGAATCATAACTGTAACTGATATATCAACGACAATGATCTGCGAACTAGAAATTTCAACACCGCGTGATTTTAGTGTGAGTAAAGTTTCACGCAAATGTAATAATATGAATGCGAATATAACGTACGGATGTCAAACACGGAGGTAACGGCGTACATTTGTAGCCTACAGTAGTGATATCTGAATCTCAGAATCGCGGAGGAAAATATCCCGACGCGTGCTAATAGCGCAGGCCGCTAATTCGCATATAACTTACGAGCGGCACGGTCTGTCTTCTACGAGGTATCCGAGGACGAATCTCCGGCTCAAATGAATTAAACGCACGTACGCGAGACGCGCGCTACGCAGCGTTCGAATAGCCTATAAATAACACTACGAGCGAGCATATAGCGCGCCGTTAGGCCGGATTTGCAGCGAAGGCGCGGCTCCGATCGATCCGCGGCGACGTTTCGCATATCGATAGACCGGCCGACCGATCTCGCGTGTAAATACCTTGATTAACGAGGCTCTGCCTGATCGTAATCGAGTTTTCCCCGCGTTCCGAACTCGTCTCGAGAGCCCCGCGTCTGATTCTCGAGCGCGTAATCTTGTTGGCGCAAGACGTGTTTCCCAAGTCTCGCTCGTCGTCTTACAATTAGTCCCCGCTATTACAGCGCGCGTGTCATTATTTCTCAGACCGTACGTATAATGATCGATATGTAGAAGCTCGCTTGTGATAAAGTAATTTCTAAAATAACGAAAAGAAAGTCTTTAGAATTCCGTGTACGTCTGGTAACGATCTCGCTACGCGAAATATACTTCGACTGGTCGAAGTCGCAGAGGGGTGCGACTCGAAGGGCCCGAGGCGCGCGCTAAATATAAGATTATACGACTCAACCCCGCGACCCCGCGCGTAAGCGCCAGGCGCGAAACTATATCTGCGGGTCCATCGAAAATAATTCCAGCCTTTAGGCCCGCGAGACGGTTTCACGACTTTTCGTAGTAGGAGCTTAAGACGTTCGCTATACGGTGTCCAAGTCGCCGACACTCGCCCGAGTCGAGAAATCGCGATCCTGGCTCCGCGCCAGGATCGCGACCATATAGATCACCCGCGAAGAGTGTGCAGAGTTGCGAAAAATTACCTCGAGCTCAGCACGAAGCTTCGCGCGACGTCAATGACTTACGTGGCGTAAGCCACCGTAGAAATCCGCGAGGGAAATGGACGTGAATGGAATTGTTTATTTCCACTTGTCGCGTCACAGACGCCAAAACAGTTTTCACAGTAACCTGCCAAGGAGATAATCCATATCGTCGCGCGGCAGAGCCGCTGATGATAATATTAAAAAAATGGTGATCCCTCAGTGTCTCACTTTCCTTCAACCATTATCCTCCATCTCTCTTCCTTCTCTTCTTTTTCATGGTCGCATTTGAAGCGCGTGCCACTCGCGCTGTCGTGCTGCAAGTCTTCGCGGCCATATGGCTTCCTTCCCCTTTCTACTGTCGTCCTCAGCGACAGCACGTTCGGCAAACGACACAGGGATAAATATTATAACTTCGGGACCTCGTGAATACGCCGCACTTTCAACGACTTCTGAATCAAAACGCTCGTCGTTTGTACTTTGGATAACACGAAAAATAATTGCGCCACTTTATCCGGCCGATAATACAAGTATTAATGATGTAGGATTCCCTCGGAGACTCATAAAGACTGATACAACTGTCACTGTGGGGCGTCGATTTTTTGACGAGTCACAGGATTATCGTTCGGCAAATTATAAGGAGTCATCTTACACCGATTTCGCGCATATCCGACGTAGAGAGGGATGAAGTTTGGCGAGGGGGGGCCTAATCTCTCGCCTTACCACATCGCGCGCTGATCGGCTTTCGGCTCGTGCTTAAGCCGCATCCCTTTTCCCCCGCGTTTCGGCTTGCCCCCTCGTAGCCCACACGAGCTTCTTTCCGTCGTCGCGGTCTCTATATTTCTTTTTCAAGTTCCGAGGCAACAGGGAAACCGGGCAGATGTTCCCGGGGCACCGCTTAGCTCGCCTCATTACCACGAGTCACGTTAATGAGCTTGCGAACCTTAATTCTTCACCCAGCCGACCCTTCTCCTCCTCTTTCTGCCTCCCGAGATTAAACCGACCGAGACGTCGCGTGTCTGCCCGACGATCACTGAATTATCGCCGTCGAAATTTCAAAGAATTCTCTCTTTCGTCTATTTAATAATTCTAACTATCGCAAGATGGACTTCTGCTGCGCAATGAGTTTGATCCGCGTATATAATGAAGAAAAGCTTACTGTGGAATTAATTCAAATCCATGCTAAGTTATGTTCTGTATTAATCCACATCGCATTGGTTTTAGAAGCTACAAATTATGAGAGCCTATAATATAAAGAAAAAATTTTCGAAAAAAAAGATCAGAAATCAATGAGATTCATTGTCAGTATTGCCGAGCGTAGCTCGAGAAGGAACGAGCGATGGTCGTAAGAATTTTCAAGAAGATCCCTGGGGTTTCCGAGGCGGATGGGTCGTAGATAAAGATAGATGTGTCGGTTTCCGGCGTGTCGAGTTAACGACTCGAGTTTTATCTGTCGGTGGGGGCTGTTTCGACGGGGACGGAAAGCCGTGGCATGGCAATGCGTGGAAGAACGTTGTGAATGGATCGCGTGCGTGAGATGCAGAGCCCGAATTTCAAGGGGACGGAAACAAAGAAGAAACTTGAATTTTAAGTATATTTTTTTTTACGAAAAATATTATATTCGTATGATTTTTATAATTCCATATTTTTCTTTCATTGGAAGAAAATAAATATACGTTGGGTATATGTGTCGTCGGTTGCACGGATATTTTAAAAACTCGCGGAGTGTGACAGACGCTTAAAGCGGTAGCTGCGAAGGGAGAGACGAAGGAGAGTAGTAGAAAAGGAAGGAAGGACAGCAGTTAGAGGCAGAACCATACCTCGAGTCATCTGGCAGTCAGCAGGATTGGAAATAGACATAGCTCGCTCCTTCTCTCTCTATCCTCCATCCCTTCCTTCTCTGTTCCCGCTACGGGGACTCTCAATCTCTCCGTCTCTCTCTTTCGCGGCCATTTCTCTCTCGGTGCGAAAAGAAAAAACGGAGAACATGAGTATGCCAAACCCGGCGGAGTCGACGATGTTTTCATTGTAACGGTGTCCCCGGTCCCTCCCGATTCTCTTTCAGTCGACTTTTTTCCAGGATCTGCTACTAAGCAGCCTGTCAAAGCGTTCTAATTTTTGTCGCCGCTTTATTACAGGAAACAATTAAATCGTTAGAAAAAATGATTATTTACCGCGATTGACTCCAAACGCTAATATAACTTCATTGTTTTGCATAAATTAATTAATATTATTGTGTAACAATCTTATTCTATTTAATAATTCACAATCTTTGACTGGCGTTTGATTCAAAAGCGTTAGGTACCGTGAGATGTTTTCGCATTTTCCTCTCCCGTTAATGACACGAGAACGATGCGAAATTGAGAGATCCCTCGACCTGTCAACGAGTATCGCGACAAACGTTTTAACACGTTCGACCACTGTAAGCGGGCAGCCAACAGGCAGTAATCAAAATCCGTGGACACTGAGCAAAGTCAAACAGCCGACCCGGTTGTCTTTACTCAGCAAACTCGTGGAAGCGCGGAGCCAATATTTAGACAGCGACCGACTCAAACATCGTAATCCGCCTTAAAACGTTGCGACACGCGCCAATCGTCCCTCCGTCCCGGTTCCGCGGGATGCTATTTACTTTATCATTCGCGAGGCACCGCGTAATCACCGCCGGCTAATTGGATCTTTATATTTGCCTTGTGATATTGAGACTTTTTTTCTACATGTGATATACTCAGCTCTCCTTTCCGCTTGGCCGCGAGATTCGATTAGCTAAGAAAATTTCATTGTCTCGTGGCCTCGAAGAGGAGCATTGACGTTCGACCTTCGATTGTCTCGATAACTTACAATTAGTTACAAACATCTGGCCCGATTATTACGAGATGATTTTGGGATTCAATGCAGACAGACCACCTGGCGCTGATCGTGAATTTTCATGATAGCACGTTTACTAGAAATTTTTTTTAAAAAGAGCCGACAATGGTACTTAAAGAAAGAATATTTTCGAGATTATTTTTTAAGGCTTGCAATTTTTCGGGCGAAGAATGCAATGGATCTTCTCCTAATTTAAATGTTTTAAAGACATTCAAAGAATTATATACAGATTTCTGCACAGTTATTTGTAAATTTGAAATAGACTTAATATCGTAATATTTAATATCAAGCGCGTTCTTGACTGTCTTGAAAGACGCTCTACTCGCACGAGATTGCCGTTAGTGAAGCTGAGCGCCCCTAAGAACCCCGGACTTTTCGAAGGAAGAGGACCTTTGAAGGTACCGGACACGCATCGTTTCTCGATGTTTCGAGCGTGGCGAATTGCCATCGTTCAAAACGAGACGCGCGCTGCCTCTTTCGCGTCGGTTTGTCTCCTCTCTTCGGGACCACGGGTCCTCCTTTCCACGAAGCGAACGAGCGCGCGCATTGTGACGTCAGTGGGGAGATGACAAACAAAAACGCATTATCTTATCCCGCGAACAAAGTTATACTTTGATCATACGACCGTGCCATTGATGGAAGACACCTGTCTACGTCAAGAAGCGACGCGAATAGAAGCTTTGACGAAGAGACACGCGCCATTTGTCGCGTTCACGAAGTGTGTCGTAATTCCATCCGTCAAACGAGAATGCTTTTTTTCCTCCCTCTTTGCTATAAATCACGCGAACGTCTCGGTGGAAATGCGTTTCGTTAATGAGAGTTATCATACGCAGCTAGGGAATGGAGAACGGCCATTTACCGAGATATATTGGCAATTCTGTAAACGGATTTCGCTTTTTTCATAGCCGCGAGCGTGAATTAACTTTTCCGATTAAAAAAAACCCTCATGTTCATGCTTTTCAGATTATCCAGCAGCTCGATTGGAACACACGGTAACGGTAGCGGGGGTGGCGGCGGAGGCGGAAGTGGTAGCGGAGGTAGTGGAGGCAGCGGCGGTGGGGGTGGGACTGCTGGCAACGGGACTTCCGGTGATTTTCTACGCAGAAGTCATCCCCTAGCGGAACATACGGCCCTACATCCCGCTTACCGGATCAACTACATGGACCATCTCTACCATCAGCTTCAGGCCTCCACACACAGTCCCAACGCCTCACTACACGGTAATTATTATATCCGACTATATACACGTACGGTTAGAAGTGTTCGCGAACAGAGAACAGAACACAAAAACTATCCGTAACCTCTTCTTCGACAAACGACGAATCGGAAGGCCCCGTAAAGGGGACCCGCATTTCCGCCGGAAGTGTCTTCTCTAGCGTACAAAAGCGCCTCGAGCCCGATTCATCGCGCGTGATCTATGTCGTGGTAATAACACGCTTCACTTCCCTCTTCCAGCAGCGACTAGGACGGTGTCCATTTCGTTGACTCGGCCAATCTGTCGCTACGTTTTATGCGAATATTATTTTCTTTTTTTTTTTCTCCACTTTCAGGACTGGGTGGTTTGGGGCCCGAATACCTCTTACACGCGGCAGGTCCTGCCAGCACCCTCGCATCGTCCGAATTCCCGTTCTCCATTGATGGTAAGTCCAATATAACAATGTATCTTCTCTTTAATGTCCACGCTGACGTGTGTTGTACGTGTGTGACTGAGTTATGTGTGCCGTGTCTAGCTGGCACACGTAGGTGTAGTGGCACTACCGGCAGGTAGGAGATCGACTGGTTAAGAGGCCGAGAGGCTAAAAGACGACCGAAAGGGTAAACGGGGCCTCGTTAGCCGCCACCGCCGCATAATTGAATCGACTCGGAGCGACACGACCTCATTAACACCTTAGCGCCTACCCTACAGGTTGTCTCACAATTCTTCTTCCCGTCCTCTTTATCTTCTCTTTCTAACTCGGATTCGATCTCTTCACTACGCGCAGTTTTCAAATATGAGTATGGACGTGCGTGGGTGCATATATTTTTATGATATGTACGTATATATATGCATTTAATCATGACTGTAATCGAGCATTTGAATTTCTATCTAGCTGCCTTAATGCCGAAACATTCAAGTATTTAAACGTTGAACATTAAGTCTTTTGAAATGGCAAAAAAAAGTATTTCTGCGAAGTAATGACGAAAATAATTTAAATATTGATTGCGTTTGATAAGAGAAGATATACGAAACTAAGAGTTGAGACGAATCGATCTTCGATTTAACACGCGAGCAGAACCTGTTTGAAAAGCGCTATAGGTTGCCGTGGCATACTCCGCGGTAGTGGCATCGGTGGAGCCGCGCCGATCGGAGTGGACGATTGCACCAATTTACATGTCTCAATCCCATGTTCGACCTCGCATGCGCGAGGGGGCGAAGAGAAGAGCTGGAACGTATCCAGCGTGTCGGAGTCCTGGAACTCGCGGGGGAAAGGATACTTTGGGTAGATCGAGCGAGGGATGGAACGGTAAGGAACGTAGGAGGGTCCACGTTCGCATATTCATTAAAGTCAGCGAGAACTGTGCGACGCGACGCGAACCGGATATGGTGGGACCAGCTCTCTTTGGTCCTTTGGCGGATAAGATAATCGACTCCCGTCGTGCGAGACGACGCGAAAAAGTCTGCGTATTCGACGCCGTGTGATAAATTTCTTTATATATATTTTAATTGTCTATTCGATTGAATGTATTTTTTTGGGAAACGACACAATTATAAATACGGCAAACCGATCGAACAATAATGTCCGAAAATCGCGGCAACAAGCCTGCGAGAAAGCAAGTGTAGCAATGTGAGCCGATAAATCGCTCATTGAACATGCATCCGCACGTCATGCGGAAAAACCGCATGGCAGTTAAGCCGTCGGTTTTCGTTCCGCTACCGCCGCCGTTGACCACCGTAAATTTGATCATTGACCGAATTAATAACCGATGAAGGGGACAAAGCGGAGCCCTCCGTGCGGGCCGGCGCGACGAGACAAGGAGGAAGAGGAGGAGGAGGAGGAGGAGAGCGGGTTTCGCAAATAAGAAAAAAAAAAGAAGGCGAGCAAGGGGATCTCCAACTGCGAGTAACTCTATACCCGTTGTGCGCGAACGAGCGATCAACCGAGTGGAAATCGAGGAGAAGGGTAGGCTCGCTTCTCGTGCTCGTCTTCTGTGTATCGCGTTGCTCCTTACACAAAAGAAGGAGAAGGGTAAAGAAGGAGGAGAGGAGGAGAAGGAATGATGGAAGAAAAAGGGGTACGAAAGCGAGGTAGAGAGCACTCGCGGCTTAATCCCGCGATGGTAGAGCAAGAAATCGAGTTGGGGGAAGGTAGGAGAGAAGGAGAGAGAGAGTGAGTGTGTGTGTGTGTGTGTACGTGTGTATGCAAGAGAGAAGGACGGGAGAGCGTAACCGCCACCATGTAACCAACGATGGTACGTACAAGCGAGCCGCCACCACGTTCTTAAGAAAGTGGTTTGTATATTACGTCGTTACGCTGCGGTCGCAGGCAAATCGCCGCTAAAACGTTCAAGCCACAAGATCGGGCTCTCTCTTCAGTCTTCTCGACTCTCCTCTCTCTTTCCTTCTCTTTCTTTCTCCCTCTCTCTCTCTCTCTCTCTCTCTTTCTCTCTCTTTCTTTTCCTACATTCAACGGTCTTGGTTCTTCTCCACCTTCCGTCCGACTTCTTACCTATGTACCCGATTACCACCTCAGTGGTGAATGCTAAAAATGCATGTTCCGAGAAAGATCACGTTAGCACATGACAGTGGTAATTAAATTATAAATTTTGTCAGCTTGTTTGACATAGGAATGGTGAGTGAGTGGGCTTGGAGACTGAACGTTGGAAGAGCTTCTATTTACAAATGTCAAGTTAAATCCGTCTTTTCTTAAGTTTCAGCATCGTCGCGACTAGGAAGTCCGCGAGCCTCGGCGATCAGAGCGAGTCGGAAAAGAGCGCTGAGCAGTTCGCCGTATTCGGACAGGTTCGATATCGACAGCATGATTCGATTTAGCCCTAATAGCTTGGCGTCCATCGTGAACGGCTCGCGAAGTAGTAGCGCGAGCGGAAGCTACGGACATCTCTCCGCTGGTAAGCAAAATATCCGCCTATAATTCCAATCAATCGTCGAACAACTTAATTTCACAAATCATTTCACAAAAGTCCTATTACAATCGAGAATTCTTCTCGATATGATTAACTAAAGATGCATTAGGAACAATTTATGGCAAATTATGGCAAATATAATTTGTTGTGATGGGATTAAAGGGCAAATGCACGTTGTCAGTGTTCGTTTTATAGCAAACAGGTACGCTTTTAAAGCACGATCGAAGGCGATAGGCGGCGACAGTACCAGTGCACATAAAGCCATTATATAGGCGGTAACCTTCTTGCTCGCGAGTTAAGAACGCCCGGTAATTTGCGATTAAATGAAGTAATTAACGAATTAAAATTCAGACGGCGTGGCACGCCAGTCGTTTGTCGGCGTCGCATCGTCGAATACCCGCAGGATGTTCCTGCTCGTTAAATTTGCCTTCGATGCATACGCCATTGTGAAGTAGACATCACCTGCATCGTTCTATCTCCGTTCTATATCCTTTTCCATTTTGATTTTACTTTGCACAATTTTCAGCATTTCTAATTTACATTTGTATTATAATTAACAGACTAAATTAAATGCTTTGATAGTATTTGAATCATTTATAATATTTATTCATAATTTAATCGAAATTTGCTATGCCTGTCGATAACAACGATAAAACTATAATGGTAAATATAATTAATATATAAATTTGTAAGATTACATTCAGATTAATACAAGCTTATTTGAGATACCATGTATGCACAGTATAATAGTGCAGTTTCTACCTACGCACGGTTACTTTATGGTTTCGTAACAGAGGCTCACAATTGAAATGCAAGCTTAGCCTACGTGCCGGAAGTCCGGCATGTCGTGCTTGGACTGTCAAAAGAACGGACATACGGCCCGATTTCGTTGTTATTCTCATATCGCAACCATATTCGAGCGATTCGTGTAAAGCATTAAGTATCCGATTACTCATAAATTGCTAAATATTCGTAAACACTCACAATCAGATATCCTTCAAATCACATTGCATCATAATACCTTGTATAATATCTGAAGATCTTTTATTTAAAATGTATTGCTGCTGTAAAATTATCGCGTTATATAACTGCGAATTTAATATCACATTATCAAACCACCATGAGTAAGATGTAGATAAGAAATCTCGCGCTCTAAATAAGTCGTAATTTTGATGTGTAATTAATATTATCAGTAATTAATATTATCGTGTATCAGTAATAAATATATAACAGTAATCAACCTACATTATGTCGCAGCAATGAGTCCAGCGTTAGGCATGCATCCCGCCAGCATGGCGCCGCACCTGCAGCAGTTACAGGCACACCTTTTAAGGAGCGCGGCGGCGCTTTTACCTCACACGCATCCCCTTCAGCCACCCGCACCACCGCCGCCACCGCTGCATCCTCATTCTCACCCCCATGCTCACGGACTGTCCCCCCATTCGCAATTGTACCCCGGTGTGCCGCCTCATTCTACGTCGGCGACGCTCAGTCCGCACGGAGCCGGAGTGCCTCCGAAAAGTGAGGTAAACAAAAATAAAATCGAGAACATTAAGACTAAAAACATTACAATTTGTCAGTTCCAAAATTCGACGTTTTCATGCTAATGACAAATAGTGCCCTATTACATATATTAATAATTAAGCCATGTTGACGGCAGGAATGATATTGATATTAGATATAATGAGAGAGCCGCGCGCGCACAGTTAACTCTGGACAGGAGAGCGCAATACTCTCGCAATAGCAAACCGGGAGTGCTATTCGATCGTTATTGTGAGTCGAGGGTACGGCGATATACCACTCGGTGGCCCGTCATCGATACATTCATTGGGAATAAATAATTGTACTCTCGTACCCCCCATCAGATGCCCGCTCGACCTTTCTTAGCTACGTCCCGTTTGGCTTCATCTAACGATGGGCGACAATGGAACAACAAAGACAGAGGAGGAGGGAGGGAGAGAGAGAGAGAGACGGAGAAAAAGATTGGGTTACTCTCTCGCGAAAGGGTCCTCGGGTTACAAGCAATCTCGCGCACATTATTTCGTCCGATTCCACCCCCTCCCTAACGCAACCTTTATTTTCCCACCCGCCGATCCTACCTCCTTCTTTTACTCTGACCGTCGCTTTTTCGTCTTTGTCGTTTCTTCTCTACCGCCATCGTCGCGACGGACCCGCGGTGATTTATTTGCATCCGCGCGCTCGCCAACGTAGGCGCGGCGTTTTCATTTTGTACCCCGCGTCCGCACGCTGTAAAGTTTACCGGCGTGATTTGCATCGGTTTGCATTTTGCTTTCCGTCGTCGTGTACCGTTGTCGTACTCGTATACGCGCGTCGCGTACCTATACAGAATACTGCAAGAACTCTCACGATCCATGTTTACGCGATATTTCTTTTTCTATGCGAGCTCTAGTGCTGTAGTGTGCTATGGTAAGATTAAACAGGTTTTTATATTTATCTCAATTTTTTTAATTGCCTTTTAATACCGAACATATTCGCGGTTTTGATTTAATTATGAGAATTCATTTATATTAAAAATATACAAACGAAGCCAAATTATCATTCCAAAATATCAAAGTGTATGTGATCACGTAAAAAAATTATTAGGATATACTAATAGCTCTCTCACGTCTCATCGGGTTTTTCCACTCAAAAATGTATTAATAAAGTCGCTTATTAATATTAGTATTATTTTCATTTCTTCTAATTTATTTGCAAAACTAATTAAATAACTTGAACCTGAATTTCTGTTTAAATATTTATTAGGTACGCGTGACAGCAATAAGCAAATAAAATATTTCCAAAAAGATTTACATTAAGTAGCAACGTTATGAATATATGATATTTTACATTTCTATTTCCATTTTCATTAATTTTACTTTCGAATATAGTATATAACTAGTATGCTTTATTACTTATCATCTGTCAACCTATTATAACATAGTGTAGAGGTGGAGAAATCTGCATATATACATACACCCTCGATCAAGTATTTCGAGTTATGTCTTTATCGGAGAGAGTTCGTAGAAGATCAAAAAGAGAAAAAAGCGGATGATTTATGACAGTTCGTAACAATCGACCGATTCACTGCGTTCTATAAACGTGATAATTGCAAAATTATACGCGATGCGATATGAATTCATAATAAATTGATATAACTGCTATAATTAATGAACGACTGGAACTCGAATGTAATTGCGAAATTTCAAATTATTTTCTTGAAAAAAAAAAACTATATTATTGGAATTACAAGTATTACATTCACGATTCTAAATTCTTTGAGTATCTGAATAATAGAAAAATATATAAATTTATTTGAGAATTATTTATTTAACATCTCTGTTTCTCTCTCTGTTTCCCACGTACAGAGCGTAGAGTCATGCAGAAAAGCGTCGGAATCATCGACTCGCTCGGTGACGGCCGAGGCTGACACTTCCTCAAGGCGGGCCGCCACCAAAGTCAAGCGGGAACCGGCGACAACGACGACCAACGCGACCACCACCACCGTTCCTCCGACTCACCCTCAAGGCCTCAGTCCGAGTGAGGACCTCAGAGACGAACCCGGTGACTTCATCGAAACGAATTGTCATTGGCGAGACTGCGGTCTCGAGTTTCCTACACAGGTAATATATAGGACGTGCGACGATATCTTAATCGCTTACTTCTTCGTCAACTGGCATCAGCGACACGAATAATTACAATTTCTATATCGCGATTTTCGCGGAGCTTCGAGCAGAATGTTAATGGGAGTGATCAATTTTACGTAGCGTTGAGATATTCCTGGAAATTATTTAAAGAGAAGGGGAAAAGGGGAGCTAAAGATATAATGCGATAATCATCGCCATCTGTACATCTCAGCGAAAGACTCGGTCTTATCCACATTAATCTGGCATGCATCTCCCTCCCAAACCAGGACGATCTCGTGAAGCATATCAACAACGATCACATACACGCCAACAAGAAGAGCTTTGTTTGCGGTTGGGAGGAATGCTCGAGGGAGGAAAAACCCTTCAAGGCTCAGTACATGTTAGTCGTGCACATGAGAAGGCATACGGGTGAAAAACCACACAAGTGTACCGTAAGTAAAGTACTTACTTGTTTCTTCCGACCGAAAATTTTTTGTATTAATCAATTACACACCAACGCGCATAAATACAGGCAAATGATTTAAAAATCTCGCTAAATATCGCTATTCAGTGCACGTTTTATTTGATTTTTCGCTATCAGCTATTAAAAAATGTTTAAATATTCTACGTTCTATTTAAATTGATTTTAGATTTTGCAAAATTTAATTAAAGTACAATTAAAAAGAAAATATAATTTTTTATCTCCATTAAAATTAATTCTACACATTTTGCATAATTCTGAGACAAAATTAAAATAGAAGAAAAACGCTTTTTTACTTACAATTAATATTTTACTTTGCAAAATTTCGAGAATTCGAAATTAAAAGAGGAGAGATAATATTCATTTCTCTCAAATTAATTTTATACTTTGCAAATTTTCGAGAGAACTCACCGTCGTTGGGACGACTGCGTTGATTTCGATCATCGCAACAATTTTTCGGTGTCTCTCGATGCATTGATACCTTAGACTGCTTCGTAGTTATGAATCGAACATTTGTCCATTTATTCGGGTCGCTTCCGATGTTCATCACACTCGCGACTAGTGCACGCGCGTGTCCGTCAAGCGAATTCTTCCGACCTGGGTGACGGCGACAATCACGAGTACTGAAAATCGCGCGCGCGAGTAGATTAATTGAGAAGGATCGTCGTGGCGATCGTCCGTGTATACGCATCCGTCACTCCCGACTTGTTACGCGCGACGCGTTCTCGGTCGGCGTTTGAAATTCTCAGAAATGTCGACGCGCGTCCGTCAACAAGAGACAAGCGAGATTATTTGTCCCGATTAAACCGTCGCGACGGCTTGTCTCCGACGTCCCTTTGCTTTCCGAACATGCTCGCCAGACGAGTGAAATATTCGAAATATACTTGCGCATATTAGAAAATGAACGTCGCGGTCCGCGCGACACGGCGGCGTCTGTCCGACACGACATGCAACGCCAATCATCACGAATGTCGAAACTTATATTAATTGCTGGGCTGTCCGAACTCGGGACGATCGACGCCGTCAAATTCAATGTTCTCGACACACGTTCGTACGCGGGCTTCACCCGGCGAGACGGGTAAACAAACACGAAAATCACGGAGCGATCGCGCTACGAGGTTATACCGGACCGTGCGACGCGTCGGCGTGGCGTGAAGTGAGCTGCGCTTTCGAAATATGATCACGTGATCACTTGCCGCGGTCAGCGGTGTCGCGCGACGCGGCAAATTTGTCCGGCGACGTGTTATAGTGAGACATGATCGATGAGAAAATAAATATCGTTAGTAACTAGATTATGGCAAGAAATTTAAATCGCATTCGAGTTCACTTTCGGTGATTCACGTTGGAAGAAAAGCGCATATAATAATTACGTATATCGTGCAGCATCACGTTTGATTATGTACGCACGATTCGTAATTATTAATTATTACAATATATTACAATTATTACTTATTATGCAAAATATGTGTTGAAACCTTTTTTAAACGCATCTAAAGATATCACTTGTAACAATGTGTGCACAAAAATGTACGCTATAACGCATAAATTAATATTGTATAATATGATGAAGCAATTTAAAATAATTCAGTTTCGGTTTTCATGAATATGTAAAGTATTCCCTAAAGACTCGTTCTTCTTCTTTTCTTAATATTTTTTTCTTATTCAATATCTATATATACTGGTTATCGAATAGCATATTTGTAATTGACTTGTAATTTATACTTGTATTAAGCTACATTTTTTACATTACAAAATTGTATTAATTAAATGTCTCCTTTTGAATACAGTTTGAGGGTTGCTTCAAAGCCTACTCGCGATTGGAAAATCTCAAGACGCATCTTAGATCTCATACAGGCGAGAAACCGTATACCTGCGAGTATCCAGGCTGCAGTAAAGCATTCAGCAATGCTAGCGATAGAGCAAAGCATCAAAACAGAACGCACTCCAGCGAGGTATTGTCCCTTTTCTTCTTAACTGTCAAAAGGAAAGGAATTTTAAATAAGATTTGAAAAATGGATAAAAATGATATTAATTTCGTGGATTATTATTTTGTATTAGGCTATAATAAATTAAATAATCACGTAGTGATTTTCACTTGAAATTTCTGTATTTGTTTAACTGTTCCATTTTGACTTTCCTTGTCCAGAAACCGTACATTTGCAAAGCTCCCGGCTGTACGAAGAGGTACACGGATCCGTCGTCGCTGCGGAAGCATGTCAAGACCGTTCACGGCGCCGAGTTTTACGCGAATAAGAAGCACAAGGGCGGCGGCGGTGGCGACGGTGGTGGCAGCGACGAGGCCGGCGCGGGTGGTAACAGTCCCAGCAGGAGTGAGGATCTGCCTCCGAAGACACCCAGTCTCTCGAGTCCTAGCGTCAAATCCGAGAGCGAGGCGAACAGTCCGCCCGGAATCATGCAGCAGCAGGGTAGTCCATTGGTGGGTGGTTGTAATGACGAGGTCGCGGGAATGGGCGCTCTCACCGGCGACGGAATCGCCCTTACCGAAGAACCGTGGAACGAAGAGCCCGATGACTTGGACATCGCCGATCTTCCTGTAGCGCTGCGTGCCATGGTGAGTCCTTCGAGGATCGCTCGAGAAATGTGCATGGACTTCGCTAGATATAAGGACAAAAAGCATCTTAATTATAATATTAAAATATAAAATGATTTTTTAAGGCTTGTCTTCCCAGCAAACGGAAATTGATTAAAATATATTGAAAAAAATTCATTTCAACGTTCGCAAATGCGTACTTCTAAAAATCTAAATCCATTTCAATGCCCAATGTCTTTGTATTCATTTATAGGAAATACATGATTACATTTTCTATGCCATTCAATTTAAAAATAAGTTCAGCTTTAAAAGTAAATTGAGAATACTGGTCAATTCAAAATTTTAGATAGAAAATGCAGCTTTCCAATCTAATTAAATTTTGAAAAATATAGTTTATGATAACATATAGGTTTCCGTGAAAATAAATCATAAACGTTATTTAATTAAAAATTTTGACTAGGAAATGCATTGTTTCAATCTATCAAATCCAAAAAATAAAAATATTACATTATATTTGTATTATGAAATAGAAATGCATTCATTTCTACGGAGGCCAATCTATTTCAATGAATTTAAATCCATGAATTTAAAAACTTTAATTCATTTTAATCTTTTTCCGTTTACTGAGTTCCTTGAGATTTAGATTGCTCTGATATTCTTTAATCTTAACTCTTAACAACCTTGACAAGTAACGTTGTCTGGTGCCAGGTCGGCGGTATGGAATCGCAGCAGCAATTGCAAGTGCCGGTACCCACGTCGAGAAATCGTCTGAAAGGAAGACTGAACGCCAAAGGCATGCCGAGTATGCCGATGGTAGGCGTAGCGAACATGCGCGGGACCCGCGGTGTCACACCTCAGGGTAATATCGGTGACCTCAATAAAAGGATCACCGATCTGAAAATGGAGAGTGGCGGTGGCCAGACGCGGCAGACAAGTCTGTCTGATCTTCAGCTGAGGCTGCAGCCGTTCGGCGAGCCGCGAAGGGACAGCAACAGCACCGTCAGCACTTATTACGGTAGCATGCGATCGACGGATTTCAGTAGCAGAAGGAGCAGCCAGGCGAGCGTCATTAACGCCGTTAGAATGGGCCCAGGACCGGAAAGTTTGTACGATCCGATCAGTCCGGGTACGTCTAGACGAAGCAGCCAGATGAGCACCACTTCCAGCAGGATCGATCAAAGTCATCTTCAGGGACCTTATTCGACAAATAATCTCGTCGTTCAAACTCAGAATATGTCTCTTCAGGTACGTAGCTTTGCTACGATTTTACGAGTACAAACCCGATAAAGGGCGATTTTAAACAACGCAACATTTTTATGCAGAGCATTCAGGCGGTGCCGAGCGACTGGAATAATCCGAGCGGTCATTGTACTCAACCATCGAGTGATCGACGAATGTCCGAACCTATTCGCAGTAACCCAGTCCAAAGGACTTCTCCTCCGATTCCGCCGAGGCCGAGATCGGCACAGCTGCCCGAGCTTCAACCTGAGCTTCATCCCAATCAGGAGGTGATTCTGGACGAGGTGGGCGAAGGTGAAATGGTGGAGAACAAACTAGTTATTCCCGACGAAATGATGCAGTATTTGAATCAGGTAATTACACGTGTTCCTTTATACATTATTCAGGTTCCATAATATTTCTCTCACGCTGATTTCTTTTAATTTCGAAATTGATATTGCCATTACAGGTTCAAGCGGGTGGAAATCAAGTCAGCTATCGCGGCAGTCCTCTACCGATATGCCAGTCACCGATATGCACGAATCCTTTGCATTATCAGCGACAGGTGCAGCCTACATGTAATTACAATCAGTCACATCAGCAGAACTGTTATTCGTCTCAGCAAGTGGCACAACAACCCTGTCCGAACTATCAGAATTCCTCGTATGCCGCCTACTGCCTGAAACCGAATTCACGCGCGACTCAATCTTCATCGCAGTATTGCCCGCCGCCGAATTACGGGTCTCAAGCGACCGGCGGACAAGTGGCAAGCCCGGCCGCGGGTCAAGTCATGTCACCAAGTTCCCATTACGCCTCGGCACACTTGAGCGATCAGCCGTTGACATCCCCCGCGGCTGGCGCGCTGGCGCCACAGCACGCGCCGCAAAATCTGCCCCAAAACTCCGCACAGCTCTCCAGAAATTGTCCTCAGAGCCACGCACACCATGCTTACTATCCGAGTTACGGTTGCGCGGCTCAAATGAACGCGAATTGCAACGGCACCGGCGGCCAAGCCAGTGGTCATCATTCTAATCAGACTTGCACACCGTCGAATCACACTGTACAGATGCAGCTAACGAACAACTGTCAGCAACTGTCGCCGCATTGCACTCAGCAAACCGCGCCCATGCCCAATCCGTCGACTATTCCTCATCCGAGCGCTCAGTGCAACCCGTCCGGTCAATGCACGAGACCTATCGCAACGTCCAACGGTCAGATATCCAACGTACATTCTGCCCAACAATCTCCGGTGACTAATCAGTGCAGTCCGATGTCACCCCATTGCCCTCAATTGAACCATGCGAATCAAAGCAAACCGATGAACACCCTTGCGACGAATATTCAAAGTTGTCCACAGCAGACTCAACAAGCGGCCACAGCGTCCTGCCTGGTCAACAACTGTAATCATCCCGGTGGTGCGCATCGTCAGGTCAACGACGACGGCAGCAGTTCAAAGAGGACATCACCGCAACTTTGTAACCCTCAACAGACTAACTGCAGAGTGCAACAGCAGCAACAAAGCTGCGCGCATAATTGTCAAACCCGCACAAATCTTCCGGCTCAATACAATTGCAATTGCGCGTGGACTTACGGAAATCAATGCTACCATGATCAACACGGTGGACCGTTGCCGGAGATACAATGCAGAGATATTAGCCAGTCGCAACAGGGCTCGCCGATAAAGCCGCCTCAAGGTATGAGACAAGATTCCTACCGCAGGACCTTGGAGTACGTTCAGCAATGCAGGAATTGGTCCGTTAACGCTCAAACCCATGAGACCAACGTTTCGAGCTCGACGCATCCTTTGTCGTTGCCGCAACCTTTGCCAGCTAGCGCCAACATGGTTGTCAATGACATGACATCTTCGCTTAGCTCTTTACTAGAAGAAAACAGATATTTACAAATGATTCAATGACTCATTTCTATTAAGAAGAGACATTAATTTAACTCCGTTATTGGTCAATGAAACAGTCGCGCCTAAACAATTTTTTTACTTGATTAATGCAGTAATAATATAAGTTGTATGTTTAATATAAAATTTTACTTTATATAAGTAAAATTTTGCTTTATATAAGTAAAATTAAAATATTAAACATGAAACATTTGGCAAATTTTGTAGTGACATGTGGCTTTATATACAATAGAAACGATCGACTCACAGTTTGCAGATTTTTTAAATTAAAGAATTAAAAATTATGAATGAAAGAGTATGAGGTAACTCGTTTTGGGAACAATAGATTAATATGTTTAATAAAATTTACAATGACTTCATATAGAAGCGCGAATTATGACAGAAAAATACTATTCCAGTGTAAGCAAGATAATAAATCCTATCATATTTATCTACATTTACTAAATTACATTACTGGTCTTTTTAATAAAAATGGATGCCATTTTTAAATAGCAAGATTGATTTTATAATATTAATACAGTCAACTTTTATGTAGATAAAATTTTTAGTCGTAATGTAAAAAGTGCCTTAAACTTAATTAACGTGCATTTGCAGAGTGCCACTGATGTATAAGTTATTACATTTGAAAATATCAGTTCACGACATTAAGTACCTCAAAAATTCCGCTCATAGTAATTTAGAATAAGACAATATAGATTATAAAGATATTCCGTATTTTATCTGCGCGGATAAAAATATATGTCACTCTTTTTTTATTATAAAAGAAAAGTATGCCTGAAAATTTGTGCGTGTATGCGTGATATCGATATTACGATTTACGATTTGCAGAAGAAGATGCGACATAATCCAGAAACTCACCATTTTATATTACACTATTTTATGTACTTGTTGCTCTTATGTACATACTAGCTCTTAGAAAACTAGAGCTAGAGATAACCACAGAAAGACCGACGGTTGGAAGCAAGTGTCAAGACTTTTGTTAATTAACATACAACACACGTCACCTTTGTATATTATCCCGTCGGGTGTCCCGCGTCAGTCGGCTGTCGGCGATCAACAATTGTTGTAACTTGTAAGTTGAACGTGATTTGTGAGCGCGCGGCGTAATCAGCATAGGGATGTAAAGAGGGAATGAAGACAAAATATATCACGCAGTATATGATTGATAAATCTCATTTTGCAATAAATGCGGAATATTTTTTGAAAAATATCTATGTACTTTAAATTATTGTAAATATATTTTTATAATATTATATATATATATACTTTTTGTACATCAATTTTGTTATGCGACGAGCGTGCCAACATAGCATTATCCTATTATAATTAAGCTCAATAAGGTGTAGTATACATCGCCAGTGTGATAGAAAAGAGAGAAATAAAGTTCACAAATAATCATTAGTTTATCACAAATAATAAAAATAATAAGACTTTGGATTAATATCAATAAAAATCCATCTGTAAGAAGCCAATATTAAAATAAAAAATGTAGATAAAATTTAGATTTAAGCACAACTATTAAGGATGCGAATGAATATACACATGAGAGTGTGCGCGAACATTTCTAAAATGTCTTTTGTAGATATTATTTTGGTAATTTCAGAAAGTAAATTTTACAACACATAGTTGCCTTCGATCTATCACAATATCGAAAATATTTTTAAATGTCTTTAGAGCGAATATTTAAATGCAATGACGAATATAATACCGAGTAAACGATTTAGAATGTATTTTAAAAATCTGAAAATATCAATGTACCTCTAGTGCTGTTTTTGTTATACACAAACGAGTTTTATATATATAAAACTAAATTTTATTAAATTGCGATTACGAAAAGGTGAATTATTTTGTGAATATTATATATATTTACTACGGTAGATTATATGCTAAGAAAACATGTATAATATTTTATTGGAAGGAAGGTATTAGAATGAAGTCTTATGGAAGTGTCTATGCATTTGCAAAATTGTTAATTATTTCGAGAATAAATAATATTAAATCCAAAATCAGGAGTTTTTTTTATTAAATTCTTTGCGTTTACCATACAAAAAAAAACATATATTTAGCATGTTATATAAATTAAAACAATGTCATTATTCCTTGACAAAACGATGTGGATGTATTCATCTGTTAAAATTAATACAATGCAAAAAATGAATATTTATTAATGACAATAAAGTCATTTTTATTTTCTAATTTATTCTTTTTACTATTATGGTTATATTATTATGTAATCAGAAATTATACAGTGCAGTATAAATACATTGATTTGTTATATTGATCGAATCACATTCTATTTGTCGTACATAAAATATATTATACTTTATTAATTTTTTATTATATCAATGTACACTAATTGACGTACGTATTTCTGTCATTCTTGCGTAGAATAGATGACAATAAAATAAGATAAGGACGCATTTGCTAGCTGTAACGAAATAACAATAATAGTTTTGTTTCGTTATCTTAAAGTCTGGTACATTCAATACATTATGATTATTATGATAAATATGAAACGTATCATACCGTTGTAAAACATGGTAAAGATGCTATGAACAATTTGCCAACTCTTAGGCTAAAGGACTTGTTGCCTCTTAATAATAGAAGTAGTATGAATTTTTGTATATATAGAGGAGTTGTATACCACTCAACTTTATATCTACATGCAATAACGATAAAAATTAAAAAATTAATAATTTGAAAAAAAATACTTGTACATCGCTATATAAGATACAGATTTGTATTGTATAATTAGTATAATGTGTAATAAACTATGATATTTCTCACGCAGTATCAAATAGTAGATCATAATGATCTGTAATTGTTTGTCCGGCTAAATTGGCTAGAAACATGTATACACATATTGAACATATTGTTATAAAAGCTATTGAAAGTTCCACAGACATATAATTAGATGATAAGATCTGTAAAAACTAAAGTAGGTGTTTTAGTATTGAAATTAATTTCTAAATTATAATTTAAATTAGATAATTTAAAATTTACTATAAAATGTGGAATAAAATTTTTTAACTACATGTTAAAAACGCAAAAATTTATACAAACAAATATCTTTCTGTTAATAATAAGTTTAAATTAAATTAAAAATAGTTAACGTTTTTATTGCTATTATATTGTAATGACAAATTCTTTAAGAAATTCAATATTATCTACTTCTTTAATTAAGTATCAAAGTAATGTTTTTATAAATACTAAAATGTGATCTATAATATTATTAATTTAAATAGTATATTATAACATAGTATATTAGTAGTGAATTTACAAAAAAAAACAAAACTTACTCTAAAAATATTAAGGCTTAAAGAAATTACGCCGAGCACTATGAAAAACAAGAATGATGTTTCAAATTTAGACATTAAATATTTTGATGACCTTTAAAAAAATTGATTGTTATGCATATATGTATTGCATATATTATAAAAGTATTATGAAATATAAATACAAACATCATTGCTTTTTGATGAATATTTACGCCATAAATAAGACCCTTGCAAATCAAATTCTTATTTTCTTGATTAACATTTCGTATGTAAATCTCTATTGTGTTTTTGATTCGATAACTGTAAATAATTTAGATAGTATAATTATATAAGAATTTTTAAATATTTGCTATATGACAATGTTATCAGACGAGAAATAACGAAGTTGAATAGTTAAAATTTTGAAACGAGTTATATACTTATATACTTATATATATTTACGCAGTTTTCTATGGATAAGTAAAATATTTGCTATGTTATATATACAGCATTTATCATCTTATATATACTGATAAGAAAAGTTAAAAATTATTATTAACAAAAGAAAGTTAAAGATTAATATCTAGCTTTTTGCTCACTGAGTCTAAATCTCGCTTTTAAAAATTTTGTTTTCAAACAGCTAATATAAATATATAATTGTTTGTACATGTTAATGCACTGTGTACAAATATTATGCATACTAATGTTTTATTATTTCAATAAGTAAACTTATTTATTGGAAATTTTCAGATATAAAAAACGGAATTTTTTCTTAATTTTAAATATTAATTTTTTTACCTAGCAATTTTAAACATTCCACAGGCATGTTGAAAAAACGCCATAAACATTGCTCCTGTTGCCATGAATATGGTAAGTTCTATGAACACAACTGCATTTATGTGAATTAGCGCAATGTAATAATATTTTTCTTGATCAATAAAGTACTCAGTTGAGATTTGCAAACGACGTGATTGAGACTCGTTTGTAAACATAATTATTCTCATAAAATATGGAAATTGACTGCCAATAAATATAATTTCAGCGAAAAAAAGAAGCACTAAACAACATAAGAGTGACAAGGAATTAGTCAAATTTTAACAATGTAAGATTTTTTATTTATGTATATTAAAATATTGTATACTGATATTTAATGTTTTTTTTTTCACAATATATCTAATATTTAAACTTAATTTTTTTACAATATTAAATTTTATTTTACTTTAGTAATATTTATTGTTTTATTTTTTATTTAATAAATAAATTAAAATTAATACATTTAATATTTATATGTCGTAGTTATCGTACGCATTAAAAATAGGAAAGTGCTTTATACATGCAATAATTAGACATTATATTATCAGATATGTTTATATCTAATAAAGTAGTATACTTTTAATTGTAATAAAAATACATAAATAATTTTATTTCTTAGTCCCGTAGTCGTAATTATCGAATCATATTGAAAATAAAAACAAAACAAATCAAAATATTTGTATTTTTAGAATATATTGAGAATCTAGTTTTTTAATGATTTCTTTCTCTATATTGTTTGATGTATAAATTTAACAAACAATTAAGACACTTGGCCTAATTTAAAACCTTACTTACGTTATAGAATTTTAAATTTATTTATTTAATATTTAGAAAATATTAAATTTATTCATATATTTTAATATACTTTATATATTAATATATTTAAAATACGAAGTAAAAGATAAAAAATATTACCTTACTTGCAAATGCAGTCGTATAACGTTTTGCGTAGTTTCCGTATCTGTCTACGATGGCAATTTCGTTGTTGTCTTTTAAATCATTATAGATTCGTTGAAGTTGTTCTATTAAATATTTTATCTATTTGTTTCAATAAGTTCTTATGTAACTGTTGTAACCTTATGTTATTTATGTAACTTTTACCAGAATTAAAATTAAAAAAATTGTAACAATTGCAAAATTATATTATGTAAACGTTTTTCAAATCTAATAAATAATTAACTTACTGTCTTATTGTTAATGCAAAATGAGTAGTAGATTGTAACTGTGGCAAGAGTAATAATCAATACAGAAAAAACTTTTATAATGTGGTCTACAGTGCATTTCGAGGTCCAAAATGTTGTCAACTGTAATTAATAATTTTATGATAAAATTTACATTCAAATGATACAAAAGTGTGAATTTGCACCGCAAGCATTTTCGAATTGCTGGCATTTGCACAGAAACATCTGTCGCAGCTTATCCACACTATACGTTAAATATGTTCAAAACATTTTTGTTTTTTCCTCAGGACAGATGTACAAATTAAGATATCAAATCAAAATTCGCACGATTGTTCTATTAGTGCATCGAAAGAAGTGTACTATTTGAAAGTTAAAAGCATATAATAAATGCCTTCATAATTTACCAGAATATTTTAAACTGCCTAATACATTATGAAAATATTTGGTTGAAATTGAGCATTTGAAACAATTCGCGCTATTTATATTCTATTTATCAATATTCGATTATTTTACTTTTATACGTATAATATTATATACAAACACAAATTTTGGTTATTTTTTGGAAGTAATGCTTTATTTATTAAACAATCTAAAATTATGTTCTTTAATTAATGTTATTAAAAAGAAATTAATTAAATAAAAATACAGCATTAATTAATATTATATATGTATAATACGCTAAGTATATTAAGTAAAATACTATATTACCCAGGCAGAACAGATTGGTCCATAGACGTCGAATCGACGTCTATGGACCAATCTGTTCTGTCTGGATAATGTATGTGTATAGTAACAATATATAATATATAATAATATGTATTGTGTATTGAAACGATAAATATACATACATTTGATAAATACAACAACTGCATAAATTTTATATAATAATGAATTATTATATAAAACGTATAATAAATATAGTATAAAATATACAATCTTTTTACAATATATATATATATATATACATACATATATATAATAATGCTATATAAAGTTACAAAACGTAAGAATAGAAAACATTATTTTAATTGACTACTACAAATAATGTATAGTAATAGCGCTATTTTACAATTAATTTTGATTAATAAAAAAATAAAAATGTTTTATTACTGCAACTTCAATTTATTAATTTTTGTGTATATAGTATATTATGTTTTATTATTACACGAGTATATAAGATTTATCATAATTAATTACTTTTTAATCAATTAATTATAAATTTAATATAAAACAGACTTACTTTAATATGAATAAATTATTTATGCAGACAAGATTTACTACTTAAAATATAATCACTTTTGACTTAAACTAATTTAATTTTAGACTTTCTATCTCTATTTTTTAATATCACTTAATCACTTATCACACATATTTATATTTTCATTAAAGGATGTATTGTCTCCAAATTAATGAGAAAATTCGCAGATATCAAATAATCTTATACATCCTTTATAATAAATGATATAGTTAGAATACCGACATACCTGACATATAATAAAAGATTGAACAATACCAAAGCAACAAAATAATTGAATTTGGGAAAGCTTCGATTTTTGATAAGGCCATAGACCAACTATTCGTAAAGTAGTCCGGTTAAGACTGAAATATTTATCCATTATACTGACCATCTCTCTACTAGCACTAAAATGCGTATAGTGAGGTAAAAGGAACAAAGGTTCGCTTGTCTCTACTATTTGATCTATCTATATATTTGTTCTGTAGGTTTTCTTTTCTATCAAAAATATTTACGTAATTTAAGATGTAATTTTTATAATTTAGTCTAATCGCAACGTAAGATGGTACAAAATTCCGCTGTAAAATTGAAATACGCAATTTAAGACTATAGCGTCAAAATGTAGTAACCGATTAAATAATCGATTCGTCGCCGAAAGAAATTTCAACAGTTGTTTCTTTCTCACGGAATATCATCCATGAGAGACGACTTGAAGTGAAAGTTACGCAAGCGCACTGACCGTTTCTTACTTATTTGTGGCGCATTCTTTTTTGTTTCTTCAATGGGTGCAGTCATAAGTTACGCGTTTGATATTCTTAACAATAGAAATGTGCTAAACATATGATATATCTACTACAAGATTATGATTTGTAAAGTATACAATATCATTTTTTGCAAAATAAATAGTTTTACTTCACATTTTTCTTATTTTTTTAGTACTTTTTAAGTTTCTGTTAAATAAAAAACAAAACATGTATCTAAAAACTTTAATAAAAAATCGGGAGGAATTTAATAAAAGCAATAATATAAGTTTCTAAAAGATTAGTAAAACAAAATTTTTAGGCGTTAGATAAAAGTTTTTAAAATATTAAATAATGTTAAACATTAAATAATCAAGAAAAAAGATATGTTACTACATATATCGTACAACAAAATTATATTATAGTCTATTCCTTATTGCATATTTTGTAAATGTTTAATAATGGATTTTGTGGAATATAATTACAATTTATGTTTCTTTAGGGCAAAAATTACGGAACCTCTTATATTTTGTTATTTTGCTATCTAATTAGTAATTGCTTATCAATTTAATTCGTTACAGTGGAATTTGACTTTATGTAAAAGATTGTGTTTTAAAATCGACAAAAAGTACGGCGCGCAGTTTATATGTGGCTGGATATTATAACGGTAATAAAAATTATTATATACACACCGTGTCAGCTTGCATTGGCATTACTTTGTTGCATCTGATTTATAAAATAATATAATTATAAAATAAGAAAATCAATATAATGTCTTACGTCAAATATACACGCCCGTTTACGGGCAGTAAGACCAATCCGGGTTTCTTTATTCGAATCGTTGATTTCAGCGAAGACACGATCATAAAAATGATAATCTAAAGAACAGCTAAGTGGATGAAATTTTTAATAGACTCAATCAATTGTTTGGGATCATATACTAAAAGTATTTTTTATTTTTTTCTATGTTAAATATTAAAAACGATTTTTTAACTTTTATATTGAAATATATATAATAAATTATATTTAAAAATTAAATTGTATTTCCGTTTCTTCGATTACAAATTGTTTTTTAATACTTGCATACGCCTATATAAACTTCCAAGCATTCTCTATACCCATATCCCCATCTATGTTATTCACTCTTTCCACCTTTCTCTTATTCACAACAATGCTTCAATACATCTCAATACACGAGACACGTTAGGGATACGACATTTTTATCCACCACGTTCTTATCTACACTTATTACTTCAAATCCAACTGTCCCTATACCCACCCCCATACCCAACACTTTATACACTCCAAAACATCCTGATAAGTTTCAACACAATTAACCCAACAGACCTTTACTCATCCTTTTACATAATAAAGTTACTAAAAAAGATGATATCCGTACAAATTTGTTTTTTTAAAAAAAGTAAAAAAAACAGCGTCAAGTACTCACATCTTCTGTACAAAGAATTTGATGTAAAAAAACTAACACCTATTTTCAGTTGTTAGTAAAATTAAAAGTCACAGTAGTGTTCATGCCAATTATATATGGGTAGTGAAATCGCTCTGCATAAATATACATATTTAACATATTATATAGATTAAAACAATATCATCATTCCTTGAGGAAACACCAAGGATCATCACATTTGTTAAAATTAATAAAATAAAATAAATAAATAAATATTTTCTATTGACAATAAAATCATTTTTATTTATTAATTCTTTCTGTTATTACAACTATTATTATATATTTGAAAAATATAATCAGTACAAATATTGATTTATATATATATATACCGAATCACATTCTATTTAGTCAAATATACATGTATTATTATTACTAATTATTAATTTTTTTACTATAATAATATATACTAATTCATACCTATCTCTGTTATTATCGCATAGAATAGATGGCGATGAAATAAGACAAGGCCGCGTTTATGAGCTACAACAAAATAACAATAATTTTGTTTTGTTATCTTAAACTATGATATATTTAATATATTATGACATATATATATAGGTATATATATATATATATATTTCATACCATTGAGAAACATTGTAAAGATGCTATGAACAATCCACCAACTTTTAGGCCAAAAGGCTTGTTGCCTTTTATCAATAGAAATAGTATGAATTTTTGTATATGTACAGGAGTTTTGTACCACTTAGCTTCATATCTATACAATAACAATATAAAAATAATTTAAGAAAAATACTTGTATTATTTTCGAATATATGTATATTATTGCTGTATGCATTATATTTACATTTATTTTTGTTACTAGAATTTATAAAACTATATAATATGACATGTATCTGAGATAATATACAATAAACTACAATATTTCTTACGCAGTAGCAAATAAAAGATCACAGTGATCTGTAACGTTTTGTCCGATTAAATTGTATAAGAGCGTATATATAAAACCGACACATATTATTACAAACGCTAAAAGTTCCTCAGTAATATAATTAGATGATAAAATCTGCGAAAACTAATGTACAAGTTTTAGTGTTAAAATAAAATTATCTAATTTCAGCTACAACTTAAATTAGACAATTTAAAATTTATTATATAAAATGTAGAAAAAAATTGTTAACTTTATCTTAAAATCGTAACAATTTATAATTTATGTATATAAGCAAATGTCCTTTTATCAATCCTTAAGTTTGAAAATTTTCTATAATGTTTTTTATTGCATTATATTGTAATAACAAATTCTTTAAGAAATTTAATGTCGTTAATTTCTTTACATAAATATCAAAGCTGTTTTAAAACTACTAAAAAATACGTTTCACAATGTTATTAATATAAAACTATATATGTATTAATAGTGAATTTTCAAAACTTACTCGAAAAATGTTAAGGCTTAAAGTTAATACTCCAAACATTACGAAAAGCATGAATAATAATTCAAATTTAGTTATAAAATATTCAGATAACCTTTAAAAAAATAGATTGTTAATGCACATACTATAGAGAGATTATAAAATATAGATACTAACTTTATTGCTTTTCGATGAATGTTTACACCATGAATAAGACCTTTGTAAACCAATTTCTTGTTTTCCAAATTAATATTTTGAATATGCATTTCTATTGTGTTTTTGATACGATAACTATAAATTCAGGTATTATAATTATAAGTATACAAATTTAGAAATATTTATTATATAATAATATAACAATATAGGTATGAGGTAAGCAGTAATTCTAAAGTTGCATAGTTATAATTCTGAAACGAGTTAAATATACTAATTGTAAATATTTACGCAGTTTTTTTATGGGTCAGTAAAATATTCGTTATGCTACATGTACACCATTCATTATCTTATATAATAGAAAAGTTAAAAATAATATTAACAAAAGAATTTCGAAAATAATATCTTCTTTCTCATCAAGTCTAGATTATATCTTTAAGAACGTCGTTTCTAAAGAATCTAATAAAATTATCTAGAAATTTTATTGCACGTCACTGTATACATGTATTTATGCATACTAAATTTTTGTTATTTTAATAAACTTGTCATTATAAAATTTTTATATATTTCTGAAGGTAAAACTTTTGAATTAAAAGTTTTCAGATATAAAGTGATATTTTTTTTATCATTTTAATGTTTATAGTTTTTACCTAGCAATTTTAAACATTCCGCAGACATGTTGAAGGTATGCAATAATTATTGCTCCTGTTGCTGTTAATACGGCAAGTCCTATAAATAAAGTTGCGCCTCCGTGGAATAGCAGTATGTAATAATATTTTTCTTTATCAATAAAGTACTCAGTTGAGATTGGCAAGTGATGTAATTGAGACTCGTTTATAGAGAAAATTATATTCTTAAAATATGGCATTTGGCTGATAATGAGAAATACACTGCAAAAAGGAAACACTAAACAACAATAATGTAATTATAAGAAATTAGTCATCTAAGTTATTTTAGCATTGTAAAATTTTTTTTATGTCTGTGTCGTATACTCAATATTTAATTTTTTCTTTTTTCTTCCAATGTATTTAAGGACTTTAAAATTTTTTTCATTATCTTTTATTTTATATTTTTAACATTTATTACATTTTTTAATTTATTGAATAAATATAAAAAACTTATAAATTTGATATTTATGTACATCGTATTTATATAAATAAGAAGAAAATAAAATGTTTCCTACACTTAACTATTCCATATTATATTATTAGGTATTATATATTTGATAGAGTCGTACAGTTTTAAATGTAATAAGAGTATATAAATAATTACATCTTTTCTCGCAATTGTAATTATTTAAATTTTATTGATAATAAAAAAAGTACAAAACAGTACATTTTTATTTCAATAACATTGTTATCTTAATGTAATTTTCTTAATGGTTTTTTTATAAGTCTATTTTTAATGTATTGAAAAGAAAGAATTAAGATTTTTTGCCTATTTTAAAAAATTTCTTGTATGCCATAGAATATTAAATTTATTAATCTATTTAAAATACAAAATAGAATAAAAAATAAAAAATATTGTCTTACTTGCTAACACAATCGTATAACGTTTGGCATAATTCCCGTATCTATTTATGATAGCAATTTCGTTGTTATCTTTCAATTCATTATAAATATGCTGAAGTTGTTCTATTAAATATTTTACCTATTTGTTTTAATTAGGTTCTTAATTAGGTTTTAGTTAGGTTCTTATGTCACTTATATAACTTAGATTGTTCTTATATAACTTTCACCAGTGTAAAAATTAAATAAAGTTACAATTAAATTATGTAAATAGTTGTTTAGATAATAAATAATCAACTTACTGTGTCACTGTTAATAAAAAACGAGCAAGAACTGATAATTGGGATAATGACAGGAATCAATATAGAAAAAACCTTTATAATGTGGTCTATTGTACATTTTGAAGTCAAAAATGTGGTAAGCTGTAATAATTTTCTAATAAAGTTGGAAACATATATGTCATTATTTTTTAACAGATCATTATAAATTCCGCTTAATACGTTGAAAAAGTTGGATTGGTTGGAGTTAAACATTCGAAGCAATTTAGCTATTTATATTCTATTTGCCAATAATCGATTATTTTAATTTTTTCCAACATTATGCAAGAATAAATTGTAATTATTTAAAAATAATGTGTTATTTATTAAACACAATGTGTTAGGATCTATTGATATTAAAAATGTATGTGTACTATAATATACGTTAATATAAATATCATATATTTTGTACAGATATTTTTGTACACGATAAATACACACACATATTACCAAATATTATAACATAAGTATATAAACGATAAAATGTTTTATAAAACATATTTATAATAATTGTGTAAAATGTTGAATTTTTTTTACAATA